GTTTATAGTGATAATTAAATTGCAGCTGGCATCCCATGATGCCCTGCGCTCCTTGTGTAAAAGCGGGAAGGATGATAAGCCAGCGCCATGTCGGCGTGCAGCCTTTTCAGATTAAAGGGAACCCGTGCTCGGTTTCGTAGCGTTAGTGAAAATAGAGAAGGGCATTTCAGTTCTGCCTACTGGGTAAAGGGATAATAGACAACTCACAGAAAAGAGTATGGCTGGCTTATAAATGGTACAGAAGTCTTCAGTAATGTTTCCCGGTCACAGGAATTACTCCGCTGTTTTTAAGTCAAGGTAGATGATTATTTAAACGCTGACTGGAAGCTAACGTACTTTTTCAAAGACACATATCTTTCTTGCCAACCTAGTCAAAGTAGTGAGGAGACTGTTCAGTTTGTTTGTCGGCTCATGCTGGCAAAGAGCATTTGGGAAGTGGGAGGAATACAAATTTAAAAGCCCGGTCCTCACTTGTGGTCACTCACTTGTGGTGCAAGCAGCCCGGGGTGCAAGCATAAGCAAGCATAAGAAACATAAGCATAAAAACGCTTTATGCTCTATTGGTGACGGCCGGACTTTAATCAGCATAAGCACTAGCATAAGAATATCAAAACCTTGCGTTCTTCTTATGCTGATGCTTTAATATGCTTATGTTGCTGTTGTGTCCAGCATAAGCAGGAGCGAAAGACTTTCAGCCAATCAGCGAGCACTGTTAATGCTTATGCCAACTGTGGCTGCACTGAACATAACACCGACATAAGCTTAAGTATAAGGAAGGACACTCATGCTTATGCTGCAGCTGTCCACTAGCACATAAGCACCTTAATATTCTTATGCTTACATCACAAGTTAGGACTGAGTTTAAGAGACCAGCCATGTTACCAGCCATGTTACTCAACAGACTTGATGTTGAAAATTCATTAATATTTGAAAAAAAGAAGGCTTTAGCAGTATTCATGCTAGAGGACAAGAAACCTGTCTGGATGGGTAACCTGTTTGACGAGTTTTCCATCCTTGTTTGAATTCATGTAAAAGACGCATAACACGTCTAACCTTAAAAAGCTTTATTATGTTCACAAATTCACATCAGCATGGATTAGAGACCATTTAGACCCAATTTGTATTATCCCAAAGTGGTTTGCTTTTGTCCCAGTTGAAGTTCCAGTCCTTTCAGTGAAATTTTCTTCTGAAACCTCACCAGAAAACTGTTCAAGTGTGAATTACTGACAGACCTTGACAGTTTTCACATCTAGTAGGAACCAAACTCACTGACTCAGACAAAACAGCAGGGGGTAAATTTTAGGATGAGTTTCCCATCCCATCAGGATGGGAAAATCATCCTATAGGGAGGGGGGGCATTAATATAATCAACTTGACTTTCTTACAAATTATTCATCCCTCATCAGTGTCGAATATTGTCAGCTGATTTCCCCAATAAGAGTCCCCTGAATATTTAAAGCTCTCCCAGTTATTGAACACCTCAAAAACTTGTGTGGAGGGCTTATAACTGAAGCTTTATGTTATGTGGGAAATATCTCTTGATAATTTGTGTTTGTATTCAACAGTTGATCACTTCCATTCAATCCCTTTATGTTGCACATTACATAATTATGTATACCTTACTCTTTGCATGAACCAGAGGTTTTAAACGTAATGTTAATTAATATGACCATTTAAATATATTGCTTCAGTTATGGAGGAAATACAAAACTTCTCACCCTGAACATAGCATAACATGAAATATAAACTGAGCTCCATGGCTGTGAGATGAAAGTCAAACCTTGATCCTCTCTGTTTACAATCCATATGATACACAATGACAATCATATCATTCTTAGAGAAAAATTTTAATAGTAGGCAATCACTGGGACATTTAGGTCTGGGATGTGAGAGTATTGATGTCGTCTCATTAAGGTTTTAATAACCTACATCCCAGGGCAAACTGAAAAATGTATTATTTAGAAATAATTTAACCTTTACAAGTGAAGTCCACCAACCAAGAAAAATTTTGATTCTTTTCTTTTAATCTAAAGAAGAGACACCACAGGAAGGAGAGTTGCAAACAGTATTCAAGCATCAATTCAAGCCAGTTACATTCTTATTTCCTGGCTTTGCAGTAAAGTATCCTGAGAAAACTTTGGAGTTGGCAACATTGGACCTAGCAAAGGACACAAAACAAAATGAATCTTAAATAACAACTCCATACCCAATGGTTGTGTTGGAAATTGAACTTAAGTTTAATGAAATCTGTGTTGTTGTTAAAAAGAAAAAATTATAATGAATTTTAGAAAATAACTTAAAGAAACAACACTTGCTGACTGGTTTAAAACTGTGTTTCTATAAATTTAACTATTAGATTATGAGCTTGAGGTTTCAATCGCATAGAAATTGAGAGCAAATAATGTAATTGTTTTATTATAAATCTACTAGCCATTCAAAACTTTATCTAAATCCTCTTCACAGACACTTTGAAAACACCAAGAGTCTGCTGTCATTTTGATAACAACTGCACACTGTTAGGCTACTCACTATCTACAACAGAATAGACAGTGAGTAGTGTAGCCAATCGGCAAACGGCATCACAATAGAAACTTAGTAGATTTATATTAAACTCGATAGAAACACAGAACTAACATGAACTGTCATAATGATGGTGTGAGAAAAGGGAATTTACATTTTGATGATCAAAGACAAACTGTTTTCTCTTTTTGCTGTGAAATTTTCTGAAAAGAAATAGAAAACATGTTCCCCATGTTTCTATCGAGTTATAGAAACACTCATGGAGGTTTGGGAGAACTTGAAAAAGCTGTGGAAACACTTGCCTGTCAACTGACATGTTCCCACAGTGTCCCTCATTCTCCCAAACTTCCACTCGTGTTTCTATAACTTGTTAGAAACACGGGACATCTTTTCCATTTCTTAAATAAATTTACAGCAGAGCTGCTAGAGTTTCTTATGAATGTAAGTTCACTTTCTAAAACATTTTAACTCTTCAAAAAATGACAAAGCCAAAATGTAAAAGGGTATGTAATGTAACATGGTATTCAATATGTTCTATTAGTGTCTGACTCTGCAATATTGAAAATAACAGAATTATCTGTACCTTCTATGTAATGTCTACGGCATTTTATTGGCGCTGATTTCCTTGTCATGATAATCTGGAAAACAATAAGAATGATTGCTCTGGGTCTTGTCTGGGTGTGTTATGGCTCGTCAACAACTGCTTACTAATAATATTGCTAAGGAAATACCCTGGGTTTATAGCACAACAAATCATGCAAGATGTTCACGATACTCTAGAAGTGTTTGTAAAGTACAAAGTCGATGGTTAATGACTTACGGTACTCACAAGTGTTCTTATAACAAATATTTAAGGAAACTCTTACAAACAGTATTTAATTGCGTGGCACCCTGGATCATTTTCCTTGTTTAAGGGGGCTTCCTCTAGTAGTTGCTCATTCACATTTTTCATTATAAAGAAATTCAGAAAACACGACCAACCGCTCTTCAATTACGAGTGCAACTGATTGCTCAGGTTACTCGCACATATTTCACGAGACACACTAGTGAGTAGGACTGGTGAAACATGTCCTGCCAGGGAAGAAAAATAATTATTTCCAGCACTGTAGTCCATCTAAAAGGTACCCTTAGCATTAAATTTGTTGAGATCATTTATATACCCAGGCGGAGCCAAGTAAGAAGTTAGAAAAGTGCCTTGGTCACAAGCACAACTCCATTACTTCGGCCAGGGCTTGAGCCGGAGCTGATCAATCCAGTGTCCAGTGCACTAGCCATTAGACTATGTTATGCCATTCAGAAGATCAAGTTTATTAAGATCTACATATCACCTTCACCTATCTGTTTGTGACTAAGTGTTACATAAGGCCTCTGCAAAGCACTTCCATTCTTCTGTCTGCTGCTGCTCTTCATACTTTGGTCTAAGATTTCCAGCTCGCTTTGTTCCTTTCTTTCTCTACTGTACACTTCTAGGTGGTGTTTGGTCTTGCTTTCCTTCTTCTCCCTTGGGGTGCCCCGGTCATTGCTATTTTGCTTGTGTGAGATGGACAAATGTACTTCTAGTTTTCAAAATTCTATTCAGATCTTTTATGCCTCCTCGTCCCTCCTGACAGACCGTTGTTCCCAAGTACTGAACTTGTCTGTCTTCGATATCTTGTCCATCAACTTGATCTTGTCATGTTTTTTTGCATTAACCCTCCTTACCTTGGTCTCTCAGCTATTGATTTGATCCTTAGTTCCACTCTTTATGTCTCCTCCTGTAATCTTGCTATTGTTTTTTCCTGTATCGACCCTTTTGTGGAGGACGAGTGCTACATCACTAGCGAAGTCTAGGTCATCAAGTGTTGTTGTGATCTTCCACCTGATGCCATTCTCCATGGCCAGCTGTTCTTCTCGTCACCCAGTCCATGACCCCAAGGGGACACTGATACCCGTACCCTATACTAGACCATGATCAGCTTGATTTTGCAACCTCATTCTAGACTAGGCACCAGAAAAACCTTCCCTATCCCGGACTAGCTATTTTTAATTCAGAYACAGAGACAAAGTCACTRCCAAGTTTCAATTTCTATTGAAGAACCCCGGCTAAAGAACCCTGCTCTAGACTAAATTATTCGTACACTGGCCTCTTTTCTGGTGAATTATACTCTATTCCAGACCAATACTGTCTGATTTTTATACCTTATCCCAGACTAAACTGCCTGAAAACCTTACCCTTCATAGTGGCACATACCCATATAGCTTATATAATTACCAAGAACACCCCCCGGTCCATGACGATAAGGAACAAAAATACCGACTTGCTGCATCCTTGTTTGACACCAGTTCTTGAGTCAAACCAATCACACACAATCCTTCTTGATCTTCTATAACACACTGGAAATCTTCATAGAAGGTTTTTCTCATTCTCACAATCTTCTCTAGGATGCCATACTTCTTTATGATGATCCATAGGCTTTCATGGTGGATGGAATCAAAAGCCTTCTCAAAATCTATGAAGTTCGGATACAGTGTCGCTTGCCATTCGTTAACCTGTTCAGTCCTGTTCAGAGATATTTCGCAATATGAAAACTAACTTGTTCAGTTGTTCCTGTACCCTTCCTATAACCTGCTTGCTCTTTCCTCAACCAACAGTCAATTCCACATCTGATCCTCTCTATAAGGATCCTCGCCAATACCTTGCCTACGACGGACAGAAGAGTTATGCTCCGCCAGTTCTTGCATTTCCTTTCTTTGTTAGTCTGATGATTGACCCTCCCTTCCATCTTATTGGGATTTTCTTGGGCTCCCATATCTTCCTCAAAAGTTGATGTAGTCTACTCACGGAAGAGATCTACGTGTACTGGTAGTTATTCCTTACAGTTGTAGATGACACCATCAAGCAGATGAGTGATGAAGTAAGAAGACGCATGAAGGAGATATTGCCTTGATGTGCCTCCAGATTGTCAGAACTAATGTCAAAATGAATGGGGGATATTAATACTTTGTTATCTCACACAGCATTAAATGTATAAAGCTTACCTTAAAGCAAGATGATGCAAAAAATGAACGAAGATCACTGTCAACGACATTTTCCATAAATCGGCGCAGGGGAAGAATGTGTGCCTTTGGCGCATTCCTGAGGAAAAATCACACAAATAAAGGCTCTATTACCATCATTAAAACAACCCAATTTCAACAACAGCATGGACCAAAACCACGGTGATAAAAGAGCTGAACATCGGGAAGACATGGGGTGAGACCGAAAAGATCCCCAAGAACAGGGTCCGGTGGAGAGCTAGGTGGAAGCACTTTGCCTCACGAGGGGCAAGGAGGATTAAGTTAAGTTATAGACCAAAACAATCCTGGGCTTGAGACCAACAGCATCCAACTATGTACAGACCAGTAAAACTCTGGTTTTGGGAAGTACGTTTTGGGATTTCATTAGGCTGTGTAGCAATGGCTTGAGTTAGAGCAGAACGTGAGAATGAGAAGGCACATTAGTCTGTAGCTCTTGCAGTAACAATGTCAGCAGTAGCAGCAACAAAACAACAATAACACCTTTAAACTTTTCTTAAAAAGAAAACTGGCATTTGCAGCCTACCACAGTGTTAAGAAGTCTTCCACAATGTGGTGAATGCGATCTGGTCTGGGAAGAACGCCTTCTTTTGATGACTTTGGCATGGCTGAAGATTAAAGACGTCAAAACGTTGAATACAAAGTGCTCATGTGAAAAACCAACGAAAAATGTAGTATATAGATAGCAGTCAATACGAGGAAGGCGTCAAGTAGCACAAAATCTAAAGCTGGATATTTCTAAATTAAAGTACAGAGAATGGAAGGAAAAGAAGGAAAGGGAAAGGGTGCAAAAAGACAAAGGAAAGGATTTGAAAAACCGCAAAGGTGGGAAAGCTTCACTGAAAAAGAAAGAAATAAGCTGCATTTTATCATAAAGTTGGTGAATAGATACTTTCAGAGTTAACCTAGATTGCAAATCCCTTGCTGATGTGGATTTGAACAGCTGGCTACATTACCTGTAGGAGGTTCTTTGTAGAAGTAAAGCACAGGATGCAGGAAGTTTGACTTGTAAGCCTCACTTGCCCATCCTGTGGCACGACCTGGCCTAAATGTGTCCTTTCTATAAATCGCAACACAAATGTGCGAAATGATTTAATCAATATAATTATTGACAAAGAGACAAAAATATCTTTTTCATATTACCTGAAGGATATAAAATCAAACCCTTATTAAGCTGCCA